TCTTTCAAGTTTATCTCTAACTGAAGAATTTGCCTGTTTTCTCCGGCAGCTGTCTTCAGGCTAAGTGCAGGTCTGGGTTCTGCCGGGTGGGAAGCACACAGGGATGAGAGTCAGCAGGTCCCTACTAACTGTAATCACACTGAAGGGGTGGGCTACTCCCAAGACAGACATCAAACAAAAAACATGGCACGTCTCAATCAAAGACATTCAAGGAGGGAGAGAAAGAACAGCAGCTTACTATTGATTATCAGGTATGAGAAGAAACCTCATCCCATTAATGGGAAAAGAGTAATATTTGTCCTGAATAGCTCATCCTAGGAGACTGTAGGCTCAAGAGGCCAGTAGTGTGGAGACACTCTCCTAGGCACCCACCATTTTACACCTCCTGACCCTGGAAGTGGATCCCACCACAGGCACTGCCTAAGAGCACACAGAAGTTGTTCCTTTTGTGAGTCATGCAGTGAATCATTCAGGGCTTTGTTCATCCTACCCCCTAGAATTACGGCACACCACATCAGACACTCACTGAGAGCTTGTTTCTATGTGCTTTTCTCAGGATTTCTGTCACTGAGGTAAAATTATCCTGTGCTCCCTTAAAGAGATGCAGAAGGACCTTCTGCCTACAGAACAGTAACATCCTTAAGCAACTTGGATGTCATATATGTATAAGTAACACATAATATACAGAGCATATAAATACAAATATACAGGTACATGCCCTTCTATAATTAAAGGAACATGTCCATACTCAAAATATTTTTATGTTGTGCCAAATGATGAATTCCACCCTGAGGAAATGAGTCAGGTAAAAGATTAACATAAGTTTGATGGTATATCTCAAATGCTGAACTGTGTTTCTGTCAGGAGTTTGGGAGAGTGGCTTGAACTTTGCACTTAACTAAAAACACCACTCGCTACCGGGTTCAGTAAAATCTGCTGTTCCAAGTACAACCTACAATCATACATGATCCTGTATGTGCAATAAATGCCAGACAGTTCATGTGATGCCATTGCTACTGAGCATCATCACCATCAAACAGGTTTGCTCCTATTCCAAACAAGTACCAGCACAGCTAAACCTGGTCACTGTCACTAATTCTGGCAGGCTCAGGAGAGCCAAAGGATGAGGACCAAACTCCATCAGAGGCTGACTATATTCTCCTCACCTGGGGAGGAAGTATAGTACTGAGGCAAATAGGGCAGCTGACATTGCTGCTGCTCCTTACACCAGCTATCCTGTGGACAAGCAGCAGGCTGTTTCTACTATTTTTTAATCAGTTTTATTTACCAGGCTGAAATCTTCCCTCTCCTTCCACCTTTCCTTCCAAAATAGTTTTTTAAATTCCATTTCTTCTAAATTTCTTATCAATATATACCTCTTGAGAAAGCAGGTCACCCACAGGTTACCTTTAATTCAATACCTCCCATTGATTTTAATGGCTGCAAGATCAGGACCCCACTAAATAATGTGTTTGAGCTGTCATAGTCAGCAAGTGGCCTTCCTCTCTTTCCCACTGCCATCAAACATCTATAATGGCAAGTAACAGGTAAACTGATACTTTGCTACTGGGAACCTGAAAAACTTCTAATATAGAACTGAAACTAGATAATGGTTATAAAACACTCCTAGTTCACTTCTGCTGTCTTACTCCCCCCCTCCTTGATGTCTTCCCTTCCAGAAATTCAATACAGGGCCAACACTTCGTACAAGTTCCATGTGCTTCCCTCAGGCACTTCTACTGAAACCAGCTGGTTTCCTCCAATGTAGGGAACATCCATTTCCATCACTACACAGTAAATGAAATGGCATGGCTTCCCTTCCTCTGATACAATCTGTTTCCTTACTGCAATGTTTTACAGTGCTGGCACATAGCAGGGTTGGTAAGAAAGCATCAAATACTTGAACTGACAGAGAACTGGTTTGATGCCTTTCTGCAAACACAGCACAGCAAAGCCAGCTCTGGACTTATCTTTTACTGATGAGGCTCCAGTGTTTGGCTCCAAATGGCAGGTGACCTTCATGATATTAATTAATTCTAATTAGTTAATTCTATTTGTTAATTCTAAACCGTCATTTTTCAAAAACAATAAAGATAAATATTACCAAGCACATCACTTCTGAGCTAAGTACAGAAAATACTTTACAGGAGTCACTTCTACACTTGCTTCTCATTTCATTATGGTTATTAGCAAACTGACTCTGTGCAGGGTGACTTTGCATATCGCCAGAATGTGTCTATTAAGAAAACAGCTGCTGCTGAAGTTTTTTAATGCAAGAAAGACAAATCAATAAATTGGATCTCTAAGGATATCTGTGATGATGATTATGCATTTCCCACGGACAACATTGGCAAGAGATGTCTAAAAAGGAGCAAAGACCAGAAGCTCCCCAGGCAAACAGCAGAATGGAAAAAGGGGGGAGGAGCACCAAAGGGATGCTGGTGGAGGTAGCCCATGTGGCCCTGCTGCCAGGAAAAGACAGAGGCAGAGAGAAGGGAGGAGAGTCCAGAAGGTGAGGCTCAAACATAAGCCAGAGACAGGGAGGAGTGAGACAGCTCAGGGGAGCTCTGCATGCTCAGAAAGGTTATGCAGTGTCTGAGTAGAACAAAGGGGCTGTGTAGCCTTGGGATGATGAACAGACACTGCAGTAAGATTTTGGAAAGAGTGGAAGGATGCAGAACCTGTGAATTAATATGTGTGCACAATTTAAGGAAACTCATGAGTTTTGGTACTCTGTTATTCAAACATCTCAACTGTGTCAAGTTTAGACACAGCATCCCATTTATCTTGGCACAACTCAAATCCCTAAATTGTCCTTTCAGTCTGTCTTTTCAGTCTCCTCACAGGAACTTTACTTCCAGCTTTGTTAAAACATGAAGTAGCCGCGAAACTGCTGTACAAACAAATACCAGCCGAGGTGAAGGCTTAACCCTGGGGCAGGGTGTGGGGCAGCCTGACAGGCAGGGCTGCAGAGCTGCCTCCAGCTGTCACTGCCCTGCAGCACCCACTCCCTCTTCCACTGCTGGAGAGCTGGTGCGACATGTGCAATTCTCAGATGTGCTGGGAAGTGCTGAGAGCACACTGAGTCCATACTGGTGAGCATATCCTACTTGTGCCACTTACTCAGTGTTGTTGTTTGAGCTCCTCCCTCCAGCCCAAATTTAACCATCCTGCAATAAATGCTGCAAAGGGGAAGGTGATGACCTCAGTCTCTCACACGGACAGCAAAGGGCGCAGTGCAGCTCTCCACACAGTGACCCTGCTTTTCATCACTTTCATGTCACACAAGTGGCAAAGGCAGTGAAGTCAGCAGTGTTTCCTGGTGTTTCCCTCTGCTCTCCCTCTCTGCCCTGAATTTTGTCCTGTTCAGTAGAGACTGGCTCATTTCACTTCAAAAAACTGGGACAGAAGAAGAAAATGATGACAGGACACATGTGTTAACAACGAGAAAACACCAGCTGCTAACATGGCTCACCTACCAGTCTGCTTGAACCACAGCAAGCCCTGAAAATGAGGCAGGGGTTTATTTTTAACATCTGTGTCAGATCTCTTTGCCTTTTAAAGAGCGTTCCTCTGCTGCTCAGGCCCCTTATCTGTTCCTTGGCACTTCAGTGAGCTGGTCCAGCAGCTCTCCCTGCAGCTGTGCCCAGGAGCCTGAAAGCTGGAGTGTCCCTCCACTGCCTCAGCAAGTGCTGTGCACTCTGCCAGAGTCCTCTAACAAATATGCACACATGGAAACAGCAGAAGAGCTTCACAGTGTCCACAGATGTCTGCATAGCAACACATCAAGTTTCACTTCTATTTCTCTGGGCTCCAGATTGCAGAGAGTATATTGCATACATTAAGTACAAAACTTAATTAAGTTTTTATTTTTTTTAAATATAAAATACTAATAGAAAGCTTTTTACTACCTATAAAATATCCTTAGGCTAGGAGATCCTATCTAGGAGTCAAAAGAAATTTTTAATCCTCCCATTCAAACTGCCACACAAACTGTGATGAAAGGATGCAGCACTGGGAAATAAAAAAAAATTGCTGATCATATTAATTCTCCATCTTCCATTCAGCTTCCTACACCAGTATCCTGTTTCCTTTTTAACAGCCAACAATGCTTCTCTATTTCCTTATGTGATTCCCCTAAAATGCTATCATGTCAGACTTAAAAGCAATGCTTCTTAGTCACTAAATGAACTCTAATTTTTGTTATGGTTTATAGAAGATCTTTGACATCTACCTGTAAATAGTGACACTGTATACTCTAAAAGCCTGCTTTGTGGTTCATCATGAAATGGCTGCTGTGCACAGAGAGCCTGCAATCCTTTTAGTTAGTCTGACTGACCCTGTGTGGGTCAGTGGCAGCTGAGGGACAGGGACTGCAGAGTCCACCTCTGAGTGCCATGCAGTGACAACTTTTGAGTTTCTCTTATGTATCTTTTTATATAGCAGACAAAAAATTACTTAGTAAGACAGTGCTTTATTACTGAAAGCTATGAACCCTTTAATAATCATATTTTCCAAACCGGAGACGCTAGTGCTAGCTAAACTCGTCATTTGACAAGAAAAGACAGCTATAGGAAAGAATTTTCTTTGTTTCAGAAAATTCTACACTAATGGCTGGTAGTTATTACACTGAAAGGTCCTGCATAACACAATTTTTTAACAAGATACAAATGAATCAGTTAGTTTAGATACACTGACACTTGTAAAAAACTGAAAATGAAAATAGCTCCAAGTACATGAAGCTTTCCTAAGGAGTACTTCTGAAAAAAATGTACTACATCTAGTTTTGCCTTTCTGGGTCAAAACTCAAAAGTCCTATGAGAGAATTTTTGTCCCAGGCGAGGTAAGCAAGACCAGTACCATTTGTGCAGAGCTGTACCAACGTGCCTGGTGAAACAAATAAAACTCAGGTCACCTGCATATGTCAGGTCAGAACTAGCTGACCCATGCCTCTGTTGCTGCATAAATAGCAGGGTTATCACCAACACAATTAGCCTTACCTTATTGTAGTACTGCACCTGAACCGAGTGCCACTGCCCGTCGCTGACCCCTCCCGCAATGAACGGGGCCACTGTCGTGGTTGTCTCCCCTGCAAAAACAGGCAGAGGGGAAAATGAGTCACCAGCACTGCAAGAAACACAGAGAGACTCTCACTGGGCACAGGATGCAGCCACCTTGCTTCATCAGGGAGGAATTTGGGTTTGTCCTGCAAGACAATAAATCTGCCCAGTTTCATGGAGTTACTCTGGTGCACAAAAACCAGCTTCTGGCACATTTGGGTGAATTATGTTGTTTTTTATCATGCTTCTGCAAAGCGTGGTAGCAGATGCATTGGGTAGATACAGCTATTGCTGAAGTGATCAGCTGAGGGAGAAATGTACATTAATTTTTCTGCATTTTTGCCAAAAGCACTTTTTTGCTATGATGAGTATTGTGATGGAGTATTTTGTTAGGAAAGGGAAGCTACTCCCTGTTAGAGATGAGAAAGTGAAATCCAGAAGTATTCTAGTACAAAACCCATGGTAACCTTGGGCTCAGCAAAATTTTACCAGTGATTAATGAAATTATTGGCAGCCTTTCAGTGTTTTTATTTGAAAGCAAGACTTTGCCATTGAAATTGGAAAGCTGAAGCTTTTAAGCCAGGACAGAGAGTCAGCAGACCCAGCTCAGTAACCAGGCATATCTGTTTCGAGGTAGCAGCAAAATAAACATTCATGTTGAAAGTACATAATAGGCCTGGCACAGAGAAGGGATTGCTCACTTTTTTTTTTTCTTTTTTTTTTTTTTTTTAAACAGTTGGAAAATTCTACATAATAAACCACAGGAAAAGTAACTCCCCCAGTAAACTAACAAAGCTCATGGTATTGTTGAGCTTAAAATGTACTTTCAACTCTGTATTTGCAACAAATACCTAAGTCAAGTATTACTCTTGTGTCCCCTACTCTCCTTTAACTGCCATCCCATGAATTTCTGTTATTTAAACAATACATACTTCAGCTTAGCATGTATGACATCCTGCTGTGATGGTTTTTATAATTTAGTGATAAAATCTATACAAATAATTGGGCTTTTTATTCAGCTATCAAGTGTCTGCAAAAGGAAGATCACTGTTCTGCAATCCTTTTGCTCTGCTTTCTGTGAAAAAGTTGTTGCGACACGTAACACAGTGAGATCAGGTGTCCAAAACTTGTACTGTTCGTTAAAAGCCACTTAAAACTATAAAACATAAACCATTCGCCTTCCAAAGAAAATACCATTTGTAATATGCAGGACCAGACCTGCTCTCAGGTGCAGCAGTGCAAATCTAAATTTAGTTTCATGTATCTTAAAGGAGTTCCTTCACATTTAAATGCATATAAGTGCAAGCAGAATTTATTTTTTTCCCATTCATCCTCAGGGTACCTTCCAAGCAATTTGATTCAAGTTTAGACAGGCGAAGCAGAGCTACAGAAGAAAGAACATCTCTCTGCAGCATGTTATTTCCTTACGCTAATCCATTCAGAAACCTGCCTTAAAATCTAATGTGGACAACTTTGAGGTAATAAAGGGGAAATGTAACTGGATATCTTCAACCCAAAGGGTCCACATATGCACTCAGCATGGCTGGTAAATCAGTGGGGTCACACAGGATTTACCATGGGGTCTGAGGGCAGCAGCCATCACTAGTGATGAGTGTGCAACACCAACGTAGGCTGTGCTTCTGCTTCTATGGCTTTACTGCTTGCAATGTCTCACTTTCCACAAAAATAAAACAGAAGTTGACTGGAGCCCACATGTCTATCCTGAATATGGATAATGGGAAATAGCAGGATTATTTCCTGAATTATGTGCCCAATATAGAGGCACAAATATCTCACTTGACCTACACATAACTCCACTTGACTTACAGGACAACAGCCCTTTCCAGATATTTGTTTTAGTCTCAGGAGAAAAATACCTTAAACCTGTGACAACCAGAGTTTGTCTGCACTACTGAGATTTCATTAAGTCACCAAAGCCTTGCCACCGAAAGCACAGATCTGCTTCTGGGAATATGTCCTGCCTGAACTTTGCTTGTCAGCCCTCCCCTCTCTCTTCTCCTACAAGCACCAAAGGCACTGGCTTAGTCCTAGTGCAGAAAGCAGCCAAAGCTGCCACTTGTTGTTTCCTGGCCCGCTGTAGCAATGAGCACGCAGCTCTCCTCAATTCGTTGTTGTTTATGGCTTCTTCCAAGAGGAGGTGCTTCTCCAGGGCAGAAATGCATTCTAGAGACAGCACTGCTCCTCCCTAGTCCCTAATAAATGGCAGACCATTTTCACTTCTGCTAGGTTTTCCTTTGGCTTGCATAGATTTTTAAGATAACATTTATGCACCTCTGATGGTGTAGTGTAAAAATGCATAAGCACACAACATTTATCACAGTATGATAAAATGAAGTCTCTTTTAAATGTAAGCAAACATTGGCTTGGAGGCCAACATTCAGGCTAGTGCCAATCTTTTATAGTAGTCATAAACTCTGGCTTTTATAACTGATATGTTGACAAGCTCCTGCCTATGACAGCGAGTGTAATCGCCACAAACCGCTACAACCTGGAGTACACCTGGCATCAGTTGTTTACTGTGCAATGTCAGCCAGTAAATTAATGAGGCAGCAAATAGCCATATAAAATCACTGAAGTGCATTTCCAAATGGCTTGAGAGGATCTCCTGACCTGCAGCAGAAACGCTCAAGTGAAAGCTCACCTGCAGAGAAGGTGAGCTGGATCTGCTCCTCAATGATCTCCAAGGCAATGAAGTCGTGCTTCTCGTTGAAACGCCCGTTGTAGAGGAGGAGAGCGTTCCTCTCCCTGGTTGCAAACCTAGAACACAGAGACATGGAGTTAGTTTGTGCTCAGCAGCTTATGGATTAAAGACTGATGGTCAAGTCACCCAGAAGAAAGAAGGCATTGTGTTTAGCAGATAAACAAGCCTTCGAATCAATCTTCAGACAGAAAATTGTAAAAGTGAGGAGTCAGCCACAGGATAAATCTACTCTTTCACAATCAACAAGGCAAGCAGATGGAAATTACAGAAATCTACTCTGCAAAGATCTGCTGACCCTCACAAGGGCTAAAATTAGGCAGACACAAGATGCAACAGCAGTATCTGACACTTGCCAAACAGTAGCACTTACTACACTCTGCAAACAGTCTGACAGCTAGAAAGCATTTTCACTTCAAAGGGGTGATCCTTGCTGCCTGCTTGCTGTCTAAATGCTACAGTGTGCTAGGACAGTCATCAACTGATTAAAAAAGCCTGATGGGGAAGTAAGGGGAAAGAAAGATATGAGTTACTTTAATAACGCCATGTGGAAAATCAGAGTTAGTCAATCAACAAGTCAGTCAATTGGAAGAAGGAAAATAAACATTCAAATTATTTCACTAGATCAGCACTAACAGGTGCATTTGGGTTTTGTTTTTCTTGTGCTACTAATATGGGATGTATATTTCTTGCAGAAAAAGGGGGAACCTTTTTTAAAAAAACCTATTCTTTTTGTCAGCACAGACCATTAAAAAAAAAAATTTGTGCTTGTAGTATTTTATATTTTTTAATTGAATTCTCTTATCTCTGGAGAGTTGCACACAGCTTTCATCTACTCAGAAATGCAAAAAAAAAAATTACACTTTACATAAACGTTTTCACAAAGATTAATATTAGATAAAGAGAGAAAAAAAGAGAAACCATGGGAATTTCTTGCATTTCCCAATGGCAATTTAGTCTGATTTTGTATCTTGAACTTCAGGAAATATGCCTGATTTAAATTAACCCACTTTTCCTACAAATGAATGAAATGCTGAACACAGCTAATGAAATGAAATCTGTCTTCCACAGACACAAGAAGTGACTCTCGTGCCTGTTATATCATGTCTAATAGCAAGACTCTCGTGTGATGCAGCAAAACCTGCATTTTGAAGAATGGGAATCAAGCAGTATTCTAGAATACATGGGTTGGTATTTGAAAGAAAAAGTTTCAAAGACAAAGAATAATTTTTACCAGAAGTTGTTTATCAGACATATGTATGTTGTGGATCACACTGAGTAGAGACCTTTCAGAATCTGAGCTACATGGAAATCAGAAATTTTATTAATATATTTTTAAATGTTTTTGAAGGATAATGAATTGTTCTGGTTCAAAAAACAGAAATCACAAATTTGATATTTCCTGTAAAATTCAAATTTCAAAGAATATGCATTGTAGTCCATAAAAATATTAATTAATGTTTTGATGACTTTTAATCAGTTTTAATATGCATATTTATTTCTAGTTTTATCATCGTATAATAGTATACAAGTAAAATGCAAACTAAATTAATTACAGCAATACCATTGAAATATATCAATGTTATCAAAACACGGATTTAGTTTTTACTTTTCACCATCAAACATTTCATCCAAAGGAATACAGTTACTGTGAAACATTTCCCAAGCCTATTTTTTCATGAGTAACTGCTTCATCCAAATATTTTGATCACATCTATCGAGAATATATATGAGCAAAGGAAAACGGAATAATACTAGTGGTGCTTCTTCAGTGGGCAGGAAGATTTAGTCTGGCAGCAATAACAAGAAGCTTAGTTATTTTTGAATATATTTTCTCATATTCTTACAATTTCCTACCATAATTTTAAGTATGAAACCATTCTTCATTAAACCATTATATCATTAAGCCATTTTGCATATTTCTTTAGTCTATCTGTGCTCAGTTCCATTCTTTGCCACTAGTCAAAAGTAACTTTTATATTACACTTGTTAAAAGCACTACTGCTTTTGAACTTGTCTGGTTGTCACCCACCAGCTGGAGGAAAAAATTGGTTTTTAATAGCAGGGATATCTTTCATTTCATGACACAGGAAGCAAAAGACTCTCTTACAGAATTTTGCATAAATAATGAGAAAACCTCTCCACTAACTTCACTCCACTCTTTTGGAGTGAAGGAGTAGTAAGTTGGAATTAAGCAAGGAAGATACATAATATTGGGAGGAGAAAGACATGCATGGTCAGTAACCTAAATACTTTTAAAAAACATTTTAGTTATGAGACTGGACAATGCAAATATTCTGCTCTTTCCTAGAAGTGGGTCATGAGTCACTGGAGGCTGAGGGAAGCTGGACACCCTGGGATTTTATGAATGCTCCCAAATCACAAAATACGTAATGCTAAATCATCTTCATAAGCAGTCAAACTGCTAATTCTTGCTGGTCCTTACATAATGTTTCCTCCTCCACTGAAGGATAATAAAAGCCAAAGAAATAGCTAGTGCAAATAAAAGTGAACTTCAGGTATGAAAAGCTAATGTGTCGCCATTCCAGACAACGTGGAATGAACCTCATAATGGCCTAGAATTCTTATAGTCACACCAAAAGGAGTAAGTAGTGTTTAGCTCATGACTAAATAAGCCATTGTGGTTGTAAAGATGGTGAAGAAGCCCTGGTGTAAGGACTACCTTTGTAGAGTACTTTGCTATTTCTCAATAACCCCTACACAGGGCATTTGAGTCATTTTAACTTGAAGCACCCTAAACGTCAAAGCTCTCCAAAAGCCTGAAAAATGACACCTCATGGCTGAGGGGACAAGTCAAGGGTAGTGCAGGCAATTCATGCTGGCAGCCAGCCCAGACTGCGCCTTTGTTTGCTCTCGCTGTGGGTCTGACAAATCCAACAGAGCCTTTTGCTCCTTGGTTTTCCTGTGTGCTTAGACCTGATGCTCTAAAACAGTCTTCACAGGCAGAACTCTCCCTTGCCTTGGCTTGTGTGCAAACCACGTCTCTGCTTTCTGATTTAACCAAAATTTCAAGATTCCATAAAATTTTGACTTTAGGATTAAGGCAGATGAAAGATAAAACGGTAGAAATCATAAAATGATAGAAAGTTTTGTGTTGGAAGGGACCATAAAGACCATCCAGTTCCAGCCCCCTGCCATGGGCTGGGACACCTGCCACTAGACCAGGCTGCTCCAAGTCCCATCCAGCCTGGCCTTGAACATTTACAAGGATGGGGCATTACTTACCTCTATTAACAGAAGCACTACAGAGTCTCTCTGGGATCTTAGCTCAGGAAAGTAAACAATGCTAAAGGACAGTACTGAAAAGCATGCTGTAAAAATGTGACCCGGCTCCTGGTACAAAAGCCAAATTATGGCTGGGTGCTGGAGGAGACATAAGCCTAAAGCCTGTCTGATCTCCCTGAGCACTTTCTCTAGGCAGATACACACACAGGTCTGCCCTTGCAGCTGCTGTTATACCTATCCAAAAATCCCCAGCTCTACTCTTTGGGGTCAGGAGTAACACATTTTGTGTTGCTTACTCGGTCAGCTGTGAGGGAAAACCAAAAGTCAATCCTGACCAGCTGAACCATGGGAAAGCTGCAAACCCAGCCCCTCCCTAGAGAAGAGGCATCTGTGCACCTGGAGCTCTGGCTCCACACCAAGCAAGCCCTGTGACCCAAGAAGTCTTCTCCAGAAAAGGAGTTTTTCCCAGGTGAGGGAGAGCCCTTGCCCATGACTGTGGCTGCTATCATTGCTCCTCCTTGCCTACCTGAGCACTCCCAGGCAAAAAGTGAGAGCCCAGAAGAAGACTGCCCAACATGTGGATGTTGGGGCAGATGGGATGGGGATAAGACTAGAGCCTGGGAGCTGGGATGGGACCAGAAGCAGGACCTAGGTGTGAAGGCCAGAAGGAGCTAAGTGAGGAGCTGGATCAGCTGGGGTTGTCCCAAACCCAACACTGGAAAGCAAGAACCTGAGAAGGACCAGACTGTGCTCAGCTATGGCCTGACACGCCCAGGTCCTCTCACAGGTGGGGAAACAGGAGATGGGAAGAGTGCTCCCAAACAAGGAGCACAAATGGATTGGTTCTGAAGCTGGGCTGAAGGTCAGGAAGCCAAAGGCCCAGTAGTAAAAGTGTCAAACACAACTTTCACCCCGGCACTTCTGCAGTTCAAGGCTGGTGATGGGTGGCCAGAGTGTTACAAGAGGGAACGTCATGATTCAGCAACACAGAAACATCCACAGCAGGGCAGAAAATCAGATGCTTTCAAATAACATGGCCTGCTCGCAGGAGTCACTGTCAGAAATCCTGCAGGGACCTTCAGGGGTAGGCCTTTGGTGGGTATCAGTACATGACAAACCAGCAGACACAGAACCATTCCCCGCTGGGACTTACATGAGGGAGACGGTGAAGTGGAAGCGCTGCCGCAGCCCCTTGAAGGTGATGAAGGACTGAGGGGGGAAGCTCCTGGTGGTCATCTCGCAGTAGGGCCGCTCGTACTCGCCCGGGGGGCACTCGCACTTGAAGCCCCCGATGAGCAGGTTCACACAGGTTCCTCCGTTCTTGCACACGCCCGGAGCGCAGCGGCCGGAGCGCGCGTTCACCTCGCAGTACTCTCCTGCAACGGGAGGAGCAGATCAGGGAAGGTGGCACCTCACCCCAGCACCAAGCTGGGACACTCAGCTACCCAAGTGGCTCTGCTACAGGTCAAACTTCTGCACCTGATCCCCTAAGCAACTGAAGTACAAGCCTGTGATTGCTGGGGGCAAGAATGCTGCATCTTCTTCAAGTCTGAATTTTCAGGGAAGTGTGGAATATGATTTGTTGAGCAATACTCTTGCAAATATCCAACAACATTGGCCTATGGTTTTCAGATTCTTTGGCTGCTTCCAAACTGAGTGACAAATACAGACCTGGTGAGAGATCGAAACGGGAGGAGGTAAAAACCCTGCACATTTTCTGTCAACCAAAATACGTGCAAATTGTTTTGGTGTTCACTATAGTTGGAAATTGTGTAAAACAGATAAATTGTTGCACTTTTTCTTGAATGGGATTTGGCTTTGCTGCCCATGGTGGCAGCAGGACATGACTCACCTCATGACAAAGCTCTCAAAATGTCTACAGCAAAAATATGCAGGATACAGATGACATAGGGATTGTTTCCACCTTTTCCCACACATGCATCCTGCAGGTGATGACAATTTTCTGAACCCTTCAGAGAAGGGCACATTAACTCTCCACAGAAGTTATGGATTCTGTATGCCACTTGCTAAGTTGTTTCACCCCTAACTAATTTGTCTTTATTCATCCCCAAAGCATGTAGTAGGATGTGTTAAATACAATAGTAAAGAATGCAGTATCTTGCTTTGTATGTATGCCATGGGTTTCTGTCCTGCACTCAAAATCTGAGAATAAATCCCAATTAAAAAAAAAAAATGTACAGCGGATATTAATTTTAAAATATCTGCTGTGGCTGGGACAAAAGCAGCTGCTGGATTAATCATTGTACAGAAACCCAAACCCTCTGTGTCAGTTAATTAGTTAACATTGGTGTTTTGACATGTGTCTTCCTATGGTATGTTCACATCCCACATGTAAAACTGTTCAGAGAAACTGGAGGTGGCATATACAGTTGAATTTAAACCAGTAACGGTGTCTGTCAATTAAATGTAGAGCAATACTACTCAACACAGCCAGCTGAAGGAACACATTTCTAACACTTCAATGCTTGCATGACCACTGGCCACCAGATGATACAATTACATTGGGACAGGCTCTTTACAGTGCTCAGCAACAGGACAAGGGGCAACAGGCACAGAGTGAAAAGCAGGAGGTTCCATCTGAGAGTGAGAAAAACCTTCTGTCCTTTGAGGATGACAGAGCACTGGAATGGGCTGCCCAGAGAGGCTGTGGAGTCTCTTTCAGTGGAGATATTCAAAACCCATCTGGACATGATCCTGTGCAGCTTGCTGTGGGTGAACCTGCTTTAGCAGGGGTTTGGAGCAGCAGAGACCCCTTCCAACCCTGATCATTCCGTGGTCCTGTGACTGATCCAAGCACAGTTAAAACCATGAAAACACATTCCTGCAGGAAAGTAAAAGCAGCAGGAGCTGTGGGCAGTGACTCATTAACAAAGGCAAAATTAAATGGAAAGTTTTGTTCCATTTAGTGCTCCACAGCCCAGCTCCCACAGGTTCCCACGCCAAGGCTGCCCACACTGGGAGGCAGGCTGAAGGCAGCAGCACTGCTGCACCCGGAGCTGGGTCTGCACCTCCTTTCTGTGCCAGGCTGTAAGCTGCCATGGTTTGCAGCTGGTTTAGCCACTGCCCCAAGGGCAGTGATCTCTGAGATAAGGTAGGTGGGCAGCTTTGTGGTTTTGGCTCTCCAGCTTTGCTGTCTTTTTCTTCTTGCATCAACATCACTTGCCTTTCAGACCAGATACGGCTTAAGGTGGCAAAATGCAGGAGCAAACACAAGACTGCTGTGATCAGGAGCCAGGCACACCCCATCCAGGTGGGGCCAGCTCTGGAGGATGGACCTGCTCTGTGCATTACTCTGAACTAATAACCCACATAGCCTTGAGTCCAAGCCTATGCTTAGAGCTTTTCCCCTTCAGCACTCATGTTCCTATATTTTCACTTTAACATATTAAGTGAAATGCTGTGAAAATCACTTGATAAATATCTTCCTGTTTCCATTTATCAGCTCTACATATCAGGCAAGATTATATGGATATACTTTCCTTAATATTTGTCAATGTTCTATAATGTGTTTCTTTTGGAAAAAATTGTATTTATCATCCAAGACATCCCCTCAGTATACTGGATATGGTGCACACATGCATCGGATGTTTTAAGAGGACACTACAGCAAGAACTTGTTGATGATCCACTGCATAACCACAGCCCTTATACACATATCTTGTGTACCAAAACTCTCAAAAAAGTGGAAAAACAAAATTCCTATAGAAAGAAAAAACAGAGGTTTGTTGTTTTTAAAAAAAGTAGCAGGATATTTTGTGAAATAACTCCCTGACTCACAGAAGAATGTAATCTTCAAGGCTTTCTGGGAACAGAATGATGTATTTTGTAAAAGCAAATAACATGAAGGCTTGAACACACAGAGAGAAAAAGGGTGAGCTAAAAGGAGAGATTCCTGGCATTGCAGCATGCTGTGGAAATGCCATGGCAATACAGAGGTGAAATATAAAAGCTTAAGCTGGAAGTCATTGATGGTTCTGTATTAATTCTGTGATACAACAAGAATCTATAGACCACTTGTTCAGATACCTATACAGGCATAAAAAATTTAAGAGAAAAGCTTACAGAAAAGTTATATTATATTAGTTTTATTACTTCTTTTCATTATGATGTGTAAAGAAGTAAATTAAAATAATATACTTCAAGATTCTTTGTCCTATATTTTTTTGATTCAGTTGTAGCATCATTGATGTCCCAGTTACTAAAATTATTCTGAATTCTCTTAAGTCTGTAATGTAAATGAGAACTGCATTTGATGCATATTCTTTGATGTTGAATTTTCATATTTTATGTGTATTTACCAAAATATATTAAAATAGTGGTTTTGAAATCTCAACAATAAATCCAAGGTGTCGCTGTACCTTGAGGCACAAAGGTTACCAAAAACCTTTTGTTTTTTAAACTTTGAAACCTTAATTACCCTTTTCTCCAAAAGTGCCTGGAATTATTTAGAAACAGAGCATTTTTGCCTTTTGGAGTAGCCATCTGAGCAAGAATTTGAAGCACTGCTTTGATCAGAACTGGCAACAGAAGGCACCTTTGTGTCACCCTTGGGTTTGTCACTTCCAAGGGCAGGCACCTCCCCTTGGACACACCACTGTCCCACGGCTCTGCCCTGCGGGAGTTTTGAGGCACAGCCTAAAAACCATCCTCAGAATTTGAACCAAAGCCTGCATGGACTTGAAGGAAGAGCTGGTTGCTGGCTGGAGTCAGAAGGCCCTAAGGGAAGAGCTACTTGGGGAGCAGGAAAGGAAGGAGCTGCATGTGCCAGCCTTTGGGAATGAAAAGCGCCTGTGTGCCTGCTTGCAGCTGAAGGTCGGAGGGCTGGGATGTGCCATCAAAAGGGTGGCCTTACAGTTTGGTAGGAAAAAATAGTACAGAAGAGGGAGAGCTGCTGTGCAGTGAGGGTCTGGAGAGACTGGGGTGATAAAAGCACAGCCCAAATAGTTGTCACACAGAGCCTGAGGTCAGTCTGTGAGACTGGTGATGGCAGCATGGCTCAGCCGCTCACCCAGCCTGTGAAACCCTCCTTTGCTCCTCACAGCATTTCCTTGACTAATATAATTTCATTTTTCACACTGGCTTGCATTTTAGGAATCACTGAGCAAACTAGTTACACATCACAGCTCTGTGAGATCCAAGCAGGGGTGTGCAGCTTAGCCCCTCCAGCTGCTAAAGCTAAAGCATGCACTCTCAGATAACATGGGCCCTGGCTGCCTGTTATCTGCCAGCAGATTCCTGGGCTTTGAAAAAATTCTGCCCTTGCCAGAAAATGATTTACTGTGACATGGCAGTAGCTGAACTTATAGGCTCCCAATTAATATTGATGACTTTTAAAGCTAGTCCTGTGGCTTTTCTGCAGCCCTCTATGTAGTGCTTCCTTGAGATCAAAATGTCATAGTTGGTTTGGACACTGCATCGTACTCACAAACAGCCTATCTCTAATACATACGTATCCTCTTTGATTTTAGGACTAATGTTTTAAAGGTGTTAGTAATAAACTGCCTGTTAATTTTATGTAAGTGAGGACACCATGATAGCAGGTGCAAAATAACAAGAACAGGCAAATACAAAGGCTGGCTAGATTTGGTCTTCCTCTGACCAGTTCTAAATAAAGTAATGAAAGTTTAACCAATAAACAATAAATGGTGATGAAAAAAGTGAAAATAAATAAAAATAAGCTGTCATAAAACTGAGACAATAATCTCACAATTGCAAATGCCTTGTGAGCTGAATGTTGTGGGTTTCAAGCAACACACTGGTGTGCACCAATGAGCCGGTCTTTGCAGAAATCTGACTGTGGTTTCACTGATGAGTTGTTTGACTTTACAACAACGATGTAAAATGTTTGAAAGCCTGCTGGAAACAAGATTATGGGATCCAAATAATACAGAATTCCTCTTCACATCAGTTTACTGCAGTGTGTTTCATCAATACACTGGTTTAGGGACTAGTCCTCACATTTTTTTACTATTCTCTGATTGTATTCAACTGAAACAGTACATTAAATATATATTTACATGAAGCACCAAATTTGCACTGATGTTCTTTTTTCATCAGTTTCCCTGGACACATTAATTTTTTACTCACTGTCTGTAATTGTTTGAACTGATTATTTTCTCCTTTCCTCATCCTGCCACTTGCTCTAGACACATATTAATTTTCTCTATGTTTATAGTTGCTTTGCCAGAACATATAGCATGTTGAGAAGCTGATTTAAGCAACCAACCTAAAACTATATACTTTAAAGTGGAAATTAGAATCCACAAGAATTACGGCAAAAGGAGAAACAACAAGAAATAGAACAACTAAATTCTTCAAACAATTCCTATTGACCATTTGCCCTAATAAAGAACCAA